CGTTCTGTGGTTGAGTCACCTCACAGATCTGTGAGGGAGGAGCTTGATAACTCTGAGAATATCCAGGCCCCAAAAATGATTTGGCAATAGCAAGAGATTCTGTAGGGTGGGTTGCCGGTCCTTTTGAGAGACTTGAGCAGGGGGGCTGCTGGGATTGACCACTAGGAGCTAAAATGAATACACCAATTGAGCTCTAAACTGAGCTCTTGATGAATCCACGGTCATATGGATGTTCTCCCTTCTGGTGGAAGTATCACAAGACACCCTGAAGTAAAAGCACTTCCACAGCTAATGAGGAAAACAGTCTTAAACTTCCTTTTTTTAATCTCAGAAGAAACCCGTGAGAATTTTCCATTTGGACTCTGACGTCACTAAGACCAGATGTTCCTCAAAGTCCCCGGACAACCTGCTTCTGCACACTTAACCCAAGAAAAAACGAAACTGGAATGGGCGGGACTGTCCCGGATAATGCCGGCCTTTCGCACTGCATACCCTGGCAAGCATTACGTGGCGCGCAGGTTTCATGCTGGAAAGCTCTGAAGGAAGCATGAGCAGCCACATTTCTGAGGTCTCCCTGTAGAGCATTTCTGCAAGTGCAGTGCTCTTGCAGTCCAGTTCTGATGTAGGTCGAACTTCCACTAACGTACCTCCTGAGCACCATCTGGCTGTAACACAGTCGTCTTCCATCCATCTTCACTTCGGACTGCAGTTCTACCGGAGATGGAGACGGAGACCTCCTCCCTCCCCCTCCCCCCTCACTGGCAGAGAGGTTCCCTGTATTGGCCAGACTCCTCGTTGCGGGATTCCTGAAAACACGCTTTTACACCATGCCTCTGCCTTCCTGTCGGAGAAGATTGGCAGCAGAGCCTTCAGGCGAGCGTCTGGGGGGGGGCTGTGTGGGCTAACCAGTGATTCCCCCCCCCCCCCCCCACAGGCGTCTGAGCAGCCTAGGAGAGGGAGGCAGAGTGGCAAAGAGACTGTCAGGGGCCCCGTGTCTGTTGCCTGACACGCGTTGCAGTGCCCCCCCTCCGGCAGCACAAAAGCTGAGCCCCCCCCCCTCGGTCCCTGGGCCACCACTTATCTCTGTTTGTTATTTTTATAACAAGTTCGCCGTTCGTCTCATTCTGCTCCAAAGGCGGCAACTGGCTTTGAACGCAGTCAAAAATAACCAGCAGTGAGCTGGGAATCTGTGTTTGTGGAAAGAAAAATAATTAGGAACAGGGAAGTCGTGATAGGGGATTCAAAGGGGTGGGGGGTCAGGGTACGGGGGGGGGGGGGGGGGGGGGGAGGGGGGGGGGGGTTCCAGCTAGAGGGTGGGCATGATCCCGCCGTAAGGAGACGTGGATGTATTCACTTTCACGTCCCAGTGTGGATTGCACTATGCACGCTGAAAAACAGAGCCTGCCGTCTGCCCTCTTACCCCCCCCACCCAACCCAAAATGGAGCACGACAAGTTTGTTAGCAGATGTTGTGGGGAACAAAACTGGGGATTCAGGGATGAGCGATCTTCCAGTGAGCGACCAAAATGAAAACGATCTATGCAAACTTGTTTCATTTCTTAGCTAAATCTCATGTTCCTACCCCCCCTGGGTACAGACTAGCATGGAGATTTTTCAAAAAGTTTCCTCCTTTGTTGTGATATTGCTGATTCATGCCAGTATTATCTGTGACAGCCTCCCACCAAGCCTTGCGGTGAGCTCTCACTTTGTATAATTGTGGCTTGTTATTCCTGTTCGTGTCGGCCAGAGCGAACAGTCCATCGACACTGTGGATCTCCAAGGCAGTTCTGAGTGCCCCTCCTATGAGAAATCGGGACGTGAGCTTCACTGCTCCCCTGACAACACTGGACATGGTTGGGTCAGGGGGGGAGGGGGCCTGTCATTGAGAAAAAAAATTAAATAATGACTGAGACCCGGAGCAGTGAGTGTATGCAACTGAAAGCGTCAGTTTTTCTCCAACTGCAAAGAGAAGAAAAAGAAATTCTTTATTGGCAAAGATTCTCTCTGGTTGGTGTTTCTGTCTGCCGTTCATGTGCCTTAAACGAAACCAGCAAAAGCTTCTATTATTCCACAGCCACCCATTTCCTAGAGCTGATTGTACTGTTATTATAACTGTATCTTAGCAAAGGAACCTGGGAAATTGACGGCCTGGGTTTGCTCTCACTGTTTTTTGGCCGTAGGGCATTTCGATGAAGGAGAACCTGCCTCCTCAGGGCTGGGGGGCAGCATGCTGGTGCAGTGAAGGTATTTTCCAGAAGACCAGGGTCAATATTTTGGTGGGTCAGTGCTGAGAAGGGATCTGAGGACGTCACCCCCAAGTGGGCTTCCCACTGGCTGGGAATCACACATCCAAGTCCTTTTGGGACATGGGAGGTGACTTGATGTTGTATTTTTGAACAAATTACTTGACCTAAATGGCTTAATTTCTCAATAGTGGCAAATTAATTTCCTTTTGCATGTTTGACACAACTGCTGTTTTGAAGTTGTTTTTTCCTGGTTTAGGTGTAAAGTCTCTGGTTTTAAGACAGCAATGACAATATCAGTGCTCATTCAGGTTTAGCTTAGCCAAACACCAGGCAGCACAAATTCATTCAGGACATGGGGACTCGTGCAGCCAATTTCTGTTGTTTACATCTGACCCCTAAATGCTGTTTATTGCGTTTGACTGAATATGGATGAGGAATGAAATTACAGAATGAAGTTATCGGCCTCCAGGCACAGATCCTCTCCTCATTTATTTCTTCTGGATGAAATTCCCCACAATTTATTGTTATGACTGGAGAGCGGTATCACTGAGTTTATTGTGTGATTTTTATTTTTTCTCAGCAGGGAATCACTGTAAACAGGGCCGATGCTGTAAGATGAGGCCTGTCGGTGTATTTAATCCGTATATTGTGTTTACAGTCTCTGAACTCCAGCAGTCATGACCGTAGGCTTACGGTTTGTACAGATTGCGTTTCACGGTTTTTAATTGTTAGGGGGCTTTGTGGGGTCCTCATTGGCAACGGCTCCGTCTATTTATAGTGTCTAAAGATGGAAACTGCAGTCTCTTTGCAAGAAGCATGGTGTTTGTTGGTTCGGCTCAGTTTGATCGCATTAGCTATGTAGTGCAGCCATGTTTATGCTGGAATGGCATGTCCCTGTTACGGGATTGACTGAATCTTTCCAGATGAAGGCTGAAACAGCTATGGTTTGTTGGCTCAGCTCGGCCTAAAAAGGTTTTTTCTGGGTGCTCTCAGTCACCCCGTCTCTGTCTCATACCTCGAAAACAGACGGCGAGTTCTCCATCAAACCGCCAGCCACAGCAAAGTCTTACCTTTGAAGAGAACGCAAGAGCGAGAATTCAGGTCAGATTGCAACCGATTCCCCTTTGAAATCATTTCCCTAAACAGTGTTAGTTCAGTACTTGCATGGATCACATCAGTGGCCTCGGACTAGAAAGGCCATTTAGGTCAAGCTCCCTCGTGGTCGCGAGAGACGGGACAGCGAATGAGGGCTCATCTTACCCCGGCTGTGAGGAGGTGTCCTGCACTATTACTTAGACAGGAACTGTAGCCTATTTTTAGCATTTTGGTTATTCATGTCTCTAACTAAAAGTGCCTTAGACTAACATTGTTATGGACTAGTAGTCTCATGAGTCTAAATTTTACATTTTAACGTACACATTGATCTAGATTAGCACCACTTTTCGTCTACATTGACCTGGATTAGTAGTGTTCTCGGTCTACATTGATCTAGATTAGTAGTGGTCTACAGTGACCTAGACCAGTGTATTGGGCCAGTGATGATCTAGACCAATGATCCTTCAGACCAGGATCACTTTGGGCCAATATTATTCTGAACTAGTAGCTTTCTTACTGTAATGATCTGGCCTAGTTGTACTTTGGACTTTTTCAGGACCAGAATTGCTTTGGTCCTACACTGATCTGGACCAGCAGTGCTTTGAGCCTGTAGCACTTCGGACCAAAGTCATGTTGACCCCGTCAGACTGACAGCACTTCTGCCACTTGTGTGTGCCCCCCCCCGTCAGACCAAAGCTCACCTGTAGCACCTTCCAATCCCCATTCCTGTTGTTTTTTTGTATTTCTATGTTGAGGTGTTTTTTTACTTGTACTTGGTTACACATCTTATGAATAATTTATATTTTATTAACATTGAAATAGGAGAAGAAAAATTCATATAATGAATATAACTTTTTTTTTAATTTTTTTTTTTTTTTAAACAAAACAAAAGAAATATGTATGCCAAAAAATGGAAAAAAAAAGATAATGTATAAGAATGGCTGATGCTGGCCCATCCTGGACATCTACTGAAAAATTTTATATACTCATATATTGTATGTGGAATTTTTGTTATGTAAAATATATATTGAATGAAAAAACTTGCAATCTGTATGTGTAATTATTGCCATGTGGGAAAAACTCTGTTGCCTTTCTGACACGCTCTAAATTTAGAATGACGCACACTGAGCATGTAAATGAGTTACAGCGTTAGGGTCCCACAGACTTCCCGGCATTACTGCGCAGACACGCGCAGTCACGTGCAGACACACGCAGACGCAGTCCCTTCATCCGCTCTTCTCCCACATCCAGATGCTGTACCATCTTCTGGGCTCCGAGCCGTGAATGACGTCGCAGTAAATGCGCTACAGCTGGAGGGATCGGGGGAAGGATTCACCTGGATAAAAATAGATGTAGTCACAAAGCTGGGGTGGGTGCAGATCTAAGCGTGTTCGCCCTGGGGAGATGTGGTTGTGGTTAGTATGCGCCCCCCCCGAATCTGGGGGAATGAATGAACTTTGTTATGTCAGCGAAAATTGCAGATGGACCAGTAACAAACCAGAAAGCATTGACACGACGGTGAAGTGAGGCTCACCGGAACCCCCCCCCCAACTGAGAAATCTGTCGACTGTGACCCCCATACCCCCGCACCCCCTACTCCCCGACATGCGGGCCCTCCTCGAGTCTTGCTGACCCGTCTGCCACTTGGACGCTGNCCCCCTCACTCGTCCACATCGGGCTTGACGTCCAGCATGGCGTGCAGCTCTTCGGGGGCGTACCCCAGCAGGCTCCGCAGGTCACAGACAAAGCGGTAGACGTAGCGCTTGCCCGATGTCTTGTGAATGATGCTCTTGTCATAGTAGTACCTCAGGCCCCGGCTCAGCTTCTCATAGTTCATCTTAGGCTTGTTCTTCCGCTTTCCCCAGCGTCGCGCTACCTGCGGGTTTTACAACATGGTCAAGACACTCCAAGTATCGCGACAGGGTTTAGTGACTGGCATCACAACGCCATCAAGACTCTTCGACTGTCACAACAGGGTTTACCTCTTACAACGCGATGGAAACTCTCTGAGAATTGCGACAGGGTTTCTCCGCTTCTCTTATAACACAATCCAGCCTCTCCAAGCATCGCGATAGGATTTACTGCCTGCTCTTACAACATGACTGAGCCTCTCCAAGTATCGCTTTAGGGTTTACCGACCGCTCTTACAGCATGATCCATTCTTGGTCATGGCATTTCTGGTAGCCGTCAAACATAAAGCTGCCGTTTGACCATGAAAACAATCTTGATGGAGCCTCTTGAATGAGTGGTAGTCAAACAGCAGATTCTGTACCCTACATTCTGATTTGACAGCCGGCAGTTCATTTTGATAGGTCGCCATGTTCACTCCTCGGCGGCCATTTGCACTCACCTCATCCGGGTCAGACAGTTTGAACTCCCAGCCATCACCTGTCCAGCTGATGAAGGTCTGGCACGACCTGTCTGTAAGGAGCTCCAGGAGGAACTGCCACAGCTGGATGGGTCCACTTCCTGCCAGCCAGACACAAGGGCGGGCCAGATGAACCGGGTCAGTAAACAGCACAACACGGTAGAAGCTTAAGTCTGTGGCTCAGTGTGATCCATTGGCTTCATTAGATTCATTAGATTAATTTCCCACTCATTCTATGCATTTATCTACGTTTTTAGGCTACAGGTTAAAAAATAAAGGTTTAAGACAGAAGCCAACCTCAACAAATCTGAAAAGTGAAGTGACATAACATGCATTTGAAAAGCAGCCACCCTGCAGGTCTCGGGTTTCCTACATTAATCCGATTCGCAGCAATGTTCCCCTTTGTGGAGAGATTCAAAGCCAGCAAAAGGAAATGCTTTCCTAGAAGTTAATCAAATTGTTCAAATAGACACTGTGCTTGGAATTCTGGACCGTGACAGCAGTGAATGTGTATGTGTGGCGGAGGCCATCGTTCTTTGTTTGAATGACCTTATAAAATGTTTTGCTTTGTTTATTAGGAAGTCCATTCCTATACCTAATAAGTATCACTAGGGGGCACAATTCTTGAGTGTACAACAAATGGTGGACCCTTAAATCCTTTTCAAGAGACAAGCATTTCATCGCGTACAGTAACTTTAGAAACATGTAGAAAATTCTGAAGTCAGGAAAGCGGCAAGACCTGCCTAAAGACGTCTCCAGGTCGACGAGGGCCTTACGGTAAAAGAAGAAAAGAGTGTGCAGGGTGGCCTGAAAAACGCTGCACCGCGGCGGGAGCCGAGCAGCCTTTCGAGAAGCCGCCGCCGCCGGCTGCGCGCGAGCTGTGAAAAACAAGCCGACCTCAAAGCTCACACGTGAATCTCTCACGCATCTCTAGCGCGGCTCCCTTATCGTCAGCCCCATCTCCACCCAAGCATGAAGACCTTACAGCTGTACAGGGATGCAAGAAGGTGTGGTGGGGGGGGCATGTTCTGTGGCTCGGATTAGTCCTAGCGTCTTCGGTTCATCGTCGCTGTGCTCCCACCCTCCGCCCCCCCGCGACTTTATTTCAGTAAGGCTGCAGAGGGGCCCTTCCTCTCCCTGCCTACATGCCCGCATTCTTGGCACAGGGGGAAAAAGTGAGCGAAACAACTCGCAGAGAATTCACAGGCATCCTCGAACCCTCCACCCTTCACCTAAGTACTGTAAGTGCTGTCGAGTGCCTGGAGGCTATAAATGAAAGTGAACTGAACCGAGTTTGAATTATTATCCATTTTATTTCAGTTGCTGCAGGTTTACTTTCTTCTGAGCTTCTCATTTTACATAATCATGGTTTTTTTTTTTGTCTTAATAATGGCTAGAACATGTTGACAGGTGTGGATGCGTTAACTCCACTGTCTGTGTACCACTGGGTTAGGGTTACTGAACTGCTTCCTTGCAAAACTGGACAAATTTTGGGCCAAAACCCAAAACCACAGGGTGTTTGGTTCAAGTGTCAAACATGATTTCCGAGTATGTGAACCCAGGATGGAGTGTGCATCTCTGGCTGCAGCACCTCCGAGTCTCTCAGATCTAACCACACATTCTTCACACCTACGTCCTGCACTCAGAGATTAGCTTGAAACCACTTTCTTTTCTTTTTTAGATCTCAAAGAAACATTCACTTTTTACAAAAAGAGACGCAGGTTGCACTGGCGGTGACGTAGGTCGACTGAAGTCCTCTAAGATAAGGCTGAAGACGTATCGCTGCTGGTAAAAAGGGGGGTTCAAAAATAAAATCTTGTCGCTATGCTTCCAAGTTGCCAAGACAACCGAGCAGGATGTGGGATCCAGATGAGCGAAGTCGGTGATGAGCAGATGAGCAGAAGCTTTGGCTGCATTTGCAGGAGAGTGAGAAACATGGCAGGTCGCTGTGCTCATTTCTTGTCGAGCTCCACTTCGTCACTGTGCTTCAGATCGTTCTGGCGGCCGATTACTACAGGTGGCCAGCAACCGGAACACCTATTTCCCTCTTAAAGTTGATCAAATGCTTGAACAACACAGCAACACAGCATGGAAACTAGTGCAATCATCTCCCTCTCCTGCAGATACTACCTCCACCTTCTCCAGCAACAACCATCTAACCTCCACCTCTCCCTGACCCACCATCCACTTCCCAGTATCCAACCGCCTGCTTCCAGGCCTCCTCGGAGAATGACCGACCCATCAAGTCAGTAACATATTCAGTGTTGGGGAAGTTCTTTACAAAGGTAAGCTATTATACAGAGAGGTGGAAAGTTTGGGTCCATAAAACACAAATAAACACCAAAGTTTTATTCCAGCCATCTAATATAAGGATTCACAGTCACAGAGTACTAAACTGGTTGGTTGAAAACCTTGGTCTGCATGTGTACTTTCTGGACCTGAACTATCCACCTCTGTAGATACGTTTTGAGTAATTTCCCCAACGCAACATATTTAATAGTGCATTGCTAATGTTCGCTGTGGCAGACTGTACTAGGTGAATCAAATAATGAATTAAAAAAATAAAAATTTCCATAAAAGAATCCGCACTTACTACAACAACGGCAAAAAGTATTTCGGGGATTCCTTTCCATTACTGAGTCACACAGAGCGAGCCCCTGCCACAACGCACCTGTGTATCCCGCAAGCACGGCCGCCGGAATGACGGACTTGTCCGTGCTGAGCTCGGGCCGCTCCCTCACGTAGTCCTTGAAGGTTCCCTTGGCCCGGTGGGCTGGAGGCACCTCTGGACTCTCCTCCGAGTCGAAGCCGTCGTAGGACGGCACCCTCTGCAGGCCAGTGAAGGGCATCAGCCTCCACTCGCAGCTCTCTGTGCTCTCCGTGCTCTCGAAAGAGTCCTGGCCGTCCAGCGTGCCTGCGGACCCCCGGAGAAAGTCAACACTCTGGCCTCGTCCCCCCCCCCCCCCCCCCCCCCCCCCCCCAGCATGCGTCTTAAGCTTAGGCGACCTCAGCGTTTAGCTTGGCTTTGGTGTAGGTGGGTCGCGTAGGTCTGTTCACACTTTTAAAAGTCAACGTACTTCAGGCTGTGGAAAAAAAATATCTACACAAAAGTCACAAGCGACACGACCCCAGTATGAAGCACGTGTCTCTGCTCGGTCTGATTACAGGATGGCTATCTAATACATATCATTGGTTTCAGTGGTTCTTGCATTATTTGTGATTATTCTCCTATAAATAAAGAGACAAGTACAACCACTATCAAGTCATCTGTTACTTAACTCACCAATAACGGCTCAATATTTAATTCTCTATTCAAGACGCCATTCATAGCACTCGGCGGTACACCAGAAGTCGCCTGAACCGTTTGATCGAGCTTTTAATAGCCACACTACCTGAGGTGTAGAGTTAACATTTCCGCTTCTAAGCCCGCTTCCAGATTGCCTTCAGAAACAGCAGATACACTCACATCAATTTTGTACGTTTTTTTTTTTTTTTTCCCCCTTCACTCAATTTTTTTTCCAAAAGGTTGAGTCCAGCTTTAATATTTCCACCCTGACAAAACTGGGCAAATTGGCAGCTAGAATCGCTGACGTGCGCAGAATCTGTATTTTGTTATTGAAAGCTGCTGATCCTTGACAGATAATCTTGAAGCCACGTGTAGGTAGTCTGGGGTTTGGCACTCGCAAAATTTCCCACGAGAGGAGCAACGGCATGCTGACAGCCGCAGGATCTGTGGCGTGGGAGCCCTGGGTACGGACTGGCGGCCCAAGCGGGGAGGGGCACCAGCCCGATACAGAGGCTGAGACACATCTCTGTGTACCAGGCCAGCCAATTTTGAAACAAAATCGAGTTTTGGTTGCCGTCCCCGAACTCTGCAGGGAGCCTCAAAGCCATTGGCACGCCCCAAAGGGGGCACTAACGTCACACTAACCTTGATGCCGAAGAAATGTGCTCAAAGCTAAACCCCATCGAGGCCCCTGTCGGTTTCGCTATGACATGACCATAGAAGCTCTGGGCAGTCAAAAAAAAAAAATAACCCACAACTTAGAGCCTATCTCTTCTTACATGTGACAGCAGAGCTACACCAAGTTAACAAAAACCAAAGTGCTTCCTGTCACCACTTTACTGGAAAAGACCAAAGAAAAACATACAAGCTGCTGGAACATAGAGCCTCAGGCATCTGTAGAGGTTCTCATTAGCGGTAAAGTTTTTAAAATGTATTCACAAATTGTTTTGATCTTATCCTTTAATGTTTTCCTGATGTGTCAGAGGTGCAATTAGCTTGTCAGAGTCTCACTCATGTTGAGTAATTAAACTTGTTGTTAAAAAGAGTGACACTCAAAGTGATCGTGGTTGGGCTCCCCATCTCAGGGGCACGCGACTCTCTGCGGGCTTCGATCCAGCCACGGCTCCGGCCCCCCCGGCTCCCCGACATCCTCACCTCGGCTGATGTGGCCGACGCACATGTTGTCCAGGGAGACGACCTCCTGCTTGACGGTGGGGAGGTAGTCCCTGGGGAGGGGGTCGAGGATCCCAGCGTGGATGCTCTCGTACTTGATCGGGAGCAGGTCCTCTGAGCTGATGGGGTGCAGCATCTGGTAGGACTCGGTGATGAAGCCTGGATCTGAGTACTCAGATGGGGGGACGCACTGGGCATGCTCAATGCCGTAACCTGCGGGCGCAGAAAAGCCCTTCTTTTTGCTAATCTGCGCATAGAGTCACGTAACGCTGAGACACAGAATCAGGCAGAATCAAGCCCAGGCAGAGATCATGCATTTGTATCCTTGAATGACAAACTAGTCAGGTAAAAAAATTATTAGCTAAAACTAAAAGCTGTACATTGGATTAAATTCTTCATCTTTGTACCTAAAAATTGTTAGCTGTTAGCTGTAAGAATTGTTATTTTTATTGTTTATTCATTTTGTTTGTTTGCTTGTTTTGGTTATTGTTTGTTTGCTTTATTTGACAGGGTCAATGAACAGTTAGTAGCTGTCCAAGAGTTAGCAAAAAAGCTACATTCCATCAGCAGTCCCATTGTGATCATTCATTTTGGGGGCTAAACCAAAAATCCACGCTATGTTACATACGCTTACCTCCAAAATAATCCAAAGGATAGCAGGCATCCTGGGAGATGGGCTTCACCACATCAGTGTGGAAGTATTTCACATCTTCAGGAGAGACAAGTCATTGTTAGCAGATGAACATTTCTAGGGCGGTAAAAATAACACGGCTCAGTGTCTCCCGGTTTATCAGGTGACCTTATGGTGCTTCCCTGTCTCCCTGCTCGCCTTGTACACAACAAACAGCTTCCTTCTGAGAAGATGCAAGAACAGCCATGCTTTGCACTCATTAATACATGAGGAATGATGTATCCTCAATGTGTGAAAGGTTGTGGGTTCAGGCACCACCAGCGGGGTCTGTGTGCTGCTCCACTTCAGCACGGCCACTGTGTGAGAGCTGGAGCAGAAGATCCTATGATCGGTTTGCCAAAAAAACAAAGGCCAGAACCCAAGCCAGTGGTGGCTTAATGGTTAGGGAAGCGCACTTGTAATTGAAAGATTGCAGGTTTGAATCCCTGACCAGCAAGGCACCACTGAGGTACCCTGAGCAAGTACCACCCCCAAGCACTGCTCTCTGGGGGCTGACTTAGCTGCCCCCTGCTATGTCACATATGGGTTAAATGCAGAGGACACACTTCGTTGTCGTGTGTCAACAATGACAATTGATCTCTAAATTCTAAATGGCAAGGGATCAGACCGGCTCAAGATCCGGCTAAGGGGATTCTTAATAGAGGGATGATTCTTGGTTTGTTAAAATTTACATTCCAGCTCAATAAATTAGCAGTTTTCAGGAAGCTTCTGTTTATGCAAGAGAAGCAATCGCTGAATGTGCCTGGAATGCCGCCAGGACGAGGTATTAGACAAAATGGAAACAGGGTAACGCTACGGGTCAGATGTCTGACATCACTAAAATGTTTGTGCAAAAAAAAAAAAAAAAAGCCAGCCAAACGTTCAAGGAGCACGTCACTTACAAGAAGAACCATCTCATACGTTCTGTCTCAGGTAGAGAACATAACTTAACGCGCCTTAACACGGCATGTTGTGTTTCGAGAAAGTTTGTAGCACTAACATTTATGAGAAGTTCACAAGCTCTGCAAATATTTGTCGCGTAAGGCACCTGCTCTTGGCGGCGAGGGGCCCGGGATGATGTCCTTCATGCTCGGCCTACCTCTCTGCAGCATCTCCAGATGCTCCCAGAGGATGTCGCCCACGAAGTCTGGCGCAAGCTCCAGGAAGCGCTCCTTGCCCAGAGCACAGAGCGTGGCGCCGTCCACACAGAAGCGGCAGAAGTCCACGTTGCGCAGGCTGAACTCGTTCACGGTCCACAAGAGCCAGGCTGCCACGTGACTCTCGCTCCACTGCAGAGGGTCTGCGCAGACACAGCAGCATTGGGGGGGGGGGGGAGGTGTCACTGTCATCCAGCTGGAACTGGGACAAAATCCTTCCACGGGGCAGCAGCCCTCTGCATGCTCAGATAGCCGTCACCATGGAGACGTGCTAGTAAACATAAAAGCGCCAGGTAGGGGCTACAGGACTATCCTGGAGAAATGCTACAGCACAAGTGGGGCATCCCTGTAGAGGAAGCTCTAAGAAGGTCCTGCAGGGACCTGGAGGTGCAGGACCCTGATCCTATGGATGATAAGAAGCCTTGTCTCTACTAAACCGCTACCGACAAACAGCAGAACAGGACACTAACTGAGCCGTCATGTTATTTATTCCAAGCTACTGTCCTTTGTAACGCTGTTACTATGTGTGTGAGCCCGCCTCCCATCCGTGCCCTAGCGCTGTGTATATGTGTCTGATGCAGCACCGCTCTGCCCCCCCAGGCGCCCCCCCCCCCCTTACCGCTGGGGATCCCGAGCCGCTGCTGCTCCTTGCTGAAGCCGCTGAAGGTGGCCCTCAGGGCCTGTGACATCATCTCCTTGCTGCCGGGGGTGAGCAGGGGCACGTCCTCACACTCCACATCTGAGGACGGCGGGGAGAACGGCTCAGCCGAGAGACGGAGGAGAGGCTCCTGCCCACCCCCCCCCAACCCCCCCCCAGGTCTACCGCTCCCCTTATCAGCAGATCAACACACAGGTGCCACACAGGCTAGGTGAGATACAGGCAAGCAGTATATTAAAATCCTTTCTTTGGTTCAACCCTCTTCAGCAACTTCCAAAGATATTCTCAGGCTGTAGGGGGCGTAGTGGTTAAAGACACATACTTGATCATTACGGACACAGACTACAGGAAGCTACTTTTGCACCCTGTGCGTAGTGCATGTATTGCTGTATAAACTGGAAAGCAGTAAATGTAGATGTGATGTAACACGGTAGATTTGTGTTTCAGCAACACACAGCAGCACGTTGGGCAGACACCGACCACTGAGAGGCGCCACCGAGACAAGCGTGAAAATGCCAGTGGAGTGTGGAGAGAGTCAGCAGGCACCAATCAGGATACCGCTTGCTTCAGAAACCAGGGACCATATTCAGTACCTTCCGTTATACCAGCCTGTCACCAGAGGGGGCGCTGTCAATGTGCTTAAGTTACTATTTTAGCTACTATTTTTTTCATGAAACGTCCCGCAAAGCAGACAAACAACTGACATCCGTGTTTTAAAAAGTAAATGAAGTATAAGTGAATGAAATAAGAGGATTATATATTAACATATAACATTACAGGAGTGACAAGGAGCTTCTGTCAGGGGGTGCGACCTCGTCTCTGCGAATGGCGAGGAGCGTGAGGCCGCTGAACGTTTCCACGGGGGCGAGTGTCACCACACCGTGGGTGTTTTTTAAAACTGCTAGCAGCCATAGGGGGGGGGGGGGGGGGGGGGGCTCACCGGGGCCACCCGGACCCCTGCAAGCACCGAGCACGCAGCCCACCGCTTTCGGAAACCACCTAAACGCTCAAGGGTCCCCAGAAAGGGTCTTGAATTTATGAGAAACCAGGGACACTTATTTAACTATAGGCACTGCAAACCACATTATAAGTACCGAATGCTAGTAATGTTGCTTTTCTGATGCACATTACTGGTACGCGATTACGAATTCACCTTTAAAAGCCGTTCGTGTGGCAAGACATGAAATCACTCTGCATGTTATTCTTTATACCGCAAATGAAGTACGGATTTGCATATTAAGCATAAATTGCATGGTGATTTCTTGTCAAGTGAGAGCAAATGCACGTAAACTACGTACGCATTTGTGCTGTTACGATCGATTGCCGCAAGTATCGTTTTTAAAGGTGAATGCGTACTTGCGTACCAGTTATGTGCCTCCCTGTGCATCATCATGCATTTAAACAGACTTTAACACTCGTGGTTCACTCAGTTTTAAGTGTAGATATATTCTTTCTATCTGTGCTGAGGCTACAGTCACTGTTTCCTGCTTGTTCCCCTCTTACCAAACAGCTCTTGAGACTCTAGTTACTGTCCCTAAGCAGCATTGCCCAAAAATTGTTTTGATGCAAGATTGTTTTTTCTTTAGCATTCTAGCATATTCCAGTTCAATCCCAATGGCTGTTTATCTTGAACCTAAAAGAAGGTGTCCGAGTCAGACCCCCCTCCCCCAGCTATGTCCCCTCCCTCAAATAGGGTACTTAAGCTGTTATTCTCCAGAAAATTACTCAGCTGTTTCATCAGTATTAGCAAGCAAAGCGTATCCAAATCGCTTGTATTATAACAAACCGAGCTCTGCTGCTGGATGCAGGTAAAGTTCCTCTGGATCCCGCTGTTCAAAACTGAAAATTATCTGAACCTGTGACAATAAGGTCCCTGCAGGGGTCAGGGGGTCATGGATTTGGGTCCCCCTCTTGTTGAGGTTGTGTGTCTGCCCCGTCCGTCCAGCGCCCCGCGTTCCAGTCAGGTGAACATCAACAAGCACCCTGGTCACTAGAAACAAATTTGAAACTTCTACTACAACCCTGCCCGTGACCCCATCCCTGGTCCCACTACTGACTCCGCCCCTGGCCCCGCCCACCCCCATAGGGATTGGTCGGGTAAGCGCGACCAGGTGGAGAGCATCAAGAGGCAGATTGGCCCGAAGGCACAGCTGCTGTAAACAGCCCTGCTGCCCAGAAACACACCCAGCATCTGCGCTTTAAGAATGCGGGGGATGTTTACATGCCCACGCAAACACACTCCGGCCAAATAGATGTTCTGTTTACATCAGCGGCTATCGCCATGCCCCATCCAACTTCAGGCTGTGAAATCCCAGTTCAACCACAGGACAGTAGGTGGCGTAACGGTTAAAGACATGAGCTTGAAACTCGAAAGGTCATGGGTTCAAATCACGAAAATTGGC